GGTCTCGCCGGCGCTGCCTCGCTGTGCTTCGTCTACTCTCTGGACTACGTTCGTACACGCCTTGCAAATGACACGAAGTCTGCGAAGAAGGGCGGTGAGCGTCAGTTCAACGGTCTGGTGGACTGCTACGTGAAGACGTGGAAGAGCGACGGTATCGTTGGGCTATACCGTGGATTCGTGGTCTCGTGCGTGGGTATCGTGGTGTATCGTGGATTCTACTTTGGCCTGTACGATACACTGCAGCCAATGCTCCCCGTGGACACGTTTATTGTGAATTTCTTCCTTGGGTGGGCAGTGACAATCTTTGCCGGTCTTCTCTCCTACCCGTTGGACACCGTCCGCCGTCGCATGATGATGACATCCGGCGCCGCCGTGAAGTACAAGAGCTCGATGGACTGCATGATGCAGGTCATCAAACAGGAGGGCGCCGCTTCTCTGATGCGTGGTGCTGGAACGAACATTTTGCGTGGCATTGCCGGTGCCGGCGTGCTCGCCGGCGTGGATGCGCTGAAGCCTATGTACATCCGGTGGCGCATGGCCGATAAGTTGAAGAAGCAAGAAGAGCAGAAACTGCAGTAAGAATGTATTCCGCCTTAGGTATGTATGGCTTTGTTTAGTTTTGGTTCTGGATTTTTTTTTTTTTAGGGATTGACGTGTTTGTTACTGGTACTTCTAGACTCCTTCTGGGGTATTGACGTGACTTGTAACAATTGTTTTTTAAGTATAAAAAACGGGGGAGAAAAGGGAAAAAAGGCTCATGCGAAGGGAAAATATGTAGATAAATATATTTACATATGTTTAGTAATTAGGTTAGCAATTGGTGCGTAGAGGAAGGCCAACGGTTTAAAAGAAGAGCACGTAAGCCGCAGTGGATGAGGAGCATTTCTTGAGCTACAGTTGAATTGATGATGAAGGCGGTTTCTGTGCTTTCAGGATTAGGCTGTTTACTTGTTTTTCTCTTTTCTCTTCAGGACGTTGCGAAATGGTGAATATACCAATGGATGTATGCCTCTATGAGGTGTGAAGAGGGGGGGATTATTGCTTTTATATTTCTGTTTGACCTTTTGATGCGTTTTTTTTTATATTATATATATTTTTCTGTGTGTGTTTGTTTTACCAACGGTGGCTTGTTTCCCACTTAGCAAGGATAGGACCGATGAGTGGCGCATTTGGGGGGACCGCATTTAATTTTTGCGGGGGCCGGTCTTCCTTCTTTTCTTTCCTTGTTCGCATCCTAGGCCACCCTTGCCGAGACGGGCATGGAACACGCATGTGGGCGTTTTTGCCTTATCTTTTTTTTCCTTCTATTCCTTTTTCTCTTCCTTGTTGTGCGTGTTTTTTTTTTCTCTCTCTCTCTCGCTTACACGCACTGAAACGGCGCGGCCGGCCGACGGTGGGCGCGATTAGGACTCAACGAGGAAAGAGCAGCAGGTCTTGTAGGCTCGTTAAGCATGCCCCGTGGCCAAATCATGACGGGGCAGGACTGGGAGCCCCAGGTGTTTAACTTTCAAAAAAAGAATAACGCCAATAAGAAGCCTGGTCGCGTGAGCGAGACCGAGGCCAACCGCGTGCTGCAGCGCGGAGGGAATGTGGATGTGATGAAGAAGGAACACTTCCACGCGAATGCCCAGAAAACGGACCTTGGCGCCAACGCAAAGAGGTTAGATGAGGACACCGATATATTGAAGTTAAAGCGCGTGGATAATGCCTTGCGCATTAATATTCAGCGGGCGCGCCAAGCAAAGGAATGGACGCAGCAGGACCTGGCACGACACATAGCGGAGCGGGCCGGCGTTGTGACGGAGTACGAGAGCGGGAAGGCGGTGCCGGAGGAGCGGGTGCTGGTGAAGATGGAGAAGGCATTGGGCGTTCACCTGCGTGGGGTGATGGCCGGGAAGCCATTTGGAGGCAGCCACCATCAGCCACAGCAGGCGAAAAAGCCCGCGTGAGAACCCGCGTTCTCCGTCGTGTCCCATATCCATGTCCATATCCATATCTATCTTTCTTTATATATATCTTGTGCTGGTGTTGTATTTTTTTTTATTGGCTCCGACGCTTCACAGCCGCCGAACCGTGAAACAAGAACTGAAGGTGCGCAGTCGACATGCATTTGAGTAAAACGAAAAGGAAAAAAGGAAAAAAAAAGAAAAGAAAAACGGTATAACAGTGCTGAGATGAAAGAAGGACAAAACGCGGTGAAATCACCTTGAAGGTAAATGAAGGCAGTCAGGGGTTGCCTACAGCGTGAGAATAACATCAACCGAAAGGAGAAACTGCGGGAACAAGTGCTTATTACGCTCTAAATTTCAGAAAACGCTGCCTTGTATATTCGTGGTTCTGCGTATGTGTGGCTCTTTCTTTTTTGCAGTGTCAGTGGGTGAGGTCTATGTGTTTCTTTTCCCTTTTCTTGCCTTTGTTTTCTTTTTCCCGGTTCTGAGGACTGCAGGCGGCATTTTCCCCTCCGTGGTAACCCCGAAGAGCGGGGAACGCAACAAGAAACTTCAATTCCCTGAGAAGTGAACGGGCGGACCAACTGAGTTTTTTTTTTCGTCTTTACCACAGTTGTGGGGGGAGGCGAGGCGGCGGGTGATTAGCAGGAAAGCCAAAAGGAAAAAGAAACACACACACACACACACACACAACGGTCTGTGGGAGGGAAAAGTTGAAGGGCGGGAGGAACACGGCACACGCCACGTGGAATACCACCAAGCATTACCGAAGAGCACGTTAAGTAAAATTAGAACGAAAGAGGAAGAGGAATAAAGACGCAGAGGAGGGGGTAGTAAATGAATCGTTACACAATTTTAGGTCAACTGGGCGACGGCTCTTTCGGTGTGGTGAGTAAAGCCCAGCACGTCATCAGCGGAGAAATAGTGGCGGTAAAAAAGATGAAGCAGAGATTTTCTAGTTGGGAGGAGTGCCTGCAGCTTCGTGAGGTTCAGGCACTTAGGAAGCTGCAGCATCCGAATATTGTGAAGCTCAAGGAGGTGGTGCGGGAAAATACAGAGTTGTTTCTGATATTTGAGTACATGGAAATGAACCTGTTCAATATTCAGCGGATGCGGGCAGAGCAGAAGAGTGGGACACAGGGATGCTTTAATGACCGTGAAATTCGTAGTATCATGTGCCAGACCCTATTATCTTTGCAGGCAATTCACAAGGGTGGCTTTATGCACCGTGATTTAAAGCCAGAGAACTTGCTGACAAAGGGGGATATCGTGAAGGTGGCCGATTTCGGTTTGGCGAAAGAGATTCGCTCCCGGCCGCCCTTTACGGAGTATGTCTCCACCCGTTGGTACAGGGCACCAGAGATCATCCTGCGTTCTACCCACTACAATTCACCGATAGACATATGGGCGTGCGGTGTGATCTTCGCCGAGTTGTATCTTAATCGCCCGCTCTTTCCAGGGTCGTCGGACAGTGACCAGCTGTTCAAGATATGCTCCGTGTTGGGGGCACCAGTCCCGTCGGAGTGGGACGAGGGATACCAATTATCGCGGCGTCTAAACATGCGTTTTCCCACTGTTGCACCCACACCACTGCGACAGCTCCTTCCCAACTCCCCGCCGGCTGCCATTGACTTGATGGAACAGATGTTGCGGTTTAATCCAAGTGATCGTCCCACAGCTACGCAATGCTTGAAGCATCCCTATTTCACAGGAACCAACAACGTTGCGGAAGCAGGGGGGACGACAACGGCCCTGTATGCAGGCATTAGCACCGGGCAACCGCATAACCCGTTTCAGCTTTTCTCCATGCAGGCTTCAGCGTCCAATGGACCAGGTCACGGTGGTGTGGGTCTTAGGGCGAATGGGGGAAGCCCACCTCCTGCGTTGTGTTCTAGCACGAAGCTTCATTCCTCTGACTCAAGCGTAGCTAGACTCCAACCATGTGCCAATGTCGTGCGTTCTTTTCCACAGGGAGTTACTAAGGCCAGCACTAACGATGATGAGTTTAACTTTTAGTCCAGGGTGCGGGAGGGAAATATACTTTGGGTCGCGCCACTTTTGCTTGTTTTTTTTCCCCTTCTCTTTTTTTATTTTCGGAAGGCAATAAGAGAGGCAGAGCAAGTAAGACCTTCCTCCCCTGCAGACGCAGAGGCTAGAGCGTCGTGGTTGGTGCCAGAATGAGAAGGCATTCCTCATTACATATCAAGTTATTTTGATATATATATATATATAAGAAAAAAAATGTTTGTTTGTTTCTGTTTTGTTACAAGTAGCTTTTACTTGCTTTTTTTTTCTTGCGTTCTGTCCCCAGCCCATTCCGTACGCGCTCTCTGGGATGGGCGTATACTGTGCAGTGTAACTATATTCCCAAACAAGCCGTATCGTTATTGCCATCCGCCTAGGATGGATTTGGCGGCTTCCGGCAAATGAAGCTTAGGCGGCATGATGCGGGATGCGCCCCTTGTCTTTTGTTTTCCCTATTTTCTGTCTCGCTCTGTTTTGCGTTTTTTTTTCTTGTTTTTTGCTGCTACTACTACTAACGCTGCCGCCGCCGCCGCTGCTGGATGTGGTGTGGGGGAAGGGACCCAATTACGGTTTACTCTCACTTGTCAGAAAGCTGTTTTTGAAGGCGCGTGGGGGGGGAAAGAAAAAAAAGGAGGGACGTGATGGGTTGGCAGAAAAACAGGAAGATGTTCTTGATACGGCTGGTTCTCTTCTCGGCATTGGTGTTAATTCACTTGTCTCCTACGGAAGGGACTTTCTTTGCGGTGCGAGGGGGTTGCATCGATGATCCTGGAAAATGGACTGCGTGTGTTCACTCCGCCGCTGAAAATGGGGCCGTTGTTGCGTTTCTTCGTGCTCAGGAAATGTCTGCCGCCGGAATTGCCGGGTACGTGCAGGGCGGCAATGTCTATTGGAACGATGGGTCGGCAATGAACTGGAAGCCGCCCGGGTTTGACCCTTCCTCGGCGGCGGACGCCGGGTTTCTTGTGGTGCGAAGCGACGCCTCATGGGGCGTGTTGGCGTACGACGTGTTTCCGGACACAATCTTTATCTGCACCGATGGCGAGGTGCTGCCGGGCACCACAACCACGACTTCCACGGAGGCGCCTGCTACGACCACAACAGAGGCACCGACAGAGGCGCCCACCAATGTTTCTGAAGTTGTAGACGCTCTGGCAGGCGCGATGAGCGCGGTAGGCACTTTTGATATCGTTCCTTCGACCACAAATACTGTGGAGGTGCCTGTTAAAGCAACAGCTTTGCTACATCAGTTAGACGTACTTCGTCAGAGGCACCATTACTTTTTTGGTGTATACTTCGCAGAGAAGGGCGACGCTGTGAAACCGCAGGGGGTTTCGACCTTGATGCGTGGGACGGGATCGACACTAGAGTTTATAGTACCCTTGAGCTTGATGGACTTGGGTGTGAGGCAGTACCTGACGCGTGTTGTGGCCGTAAACAATTTGGGGACTTCCATCTATCGTCAAACAGACGCTAGGCTTCTTATTCACTCCGTTGAGGAGGTGCTACAGAACTTAAAAGGCAGTGTAGAAATTAACGAGGAGGACATGGTCGATGGTAGGGACATCATACGTCCACTGCGTGTCATGGGACCGGGTACCAGGGTGCAGCATACAGTCGCGGTTTCGCCGTCTGCTTTTAGTGGGCTTTCCCTCACCATGATCAACCATCGCAGGGTGGGAAAAGCCTGCGCACCAAGTAATTTGCCCATTGAATTTGTCTTTGCAAATGGTAAGTTGCAGCTGTTTCTTCCAAGGGAGTACGTGGAGCGCGTGAGGACGGCCCCGAGGAGTCTCTGCGCCTCTGTAGCGGGCAAACACGTCGCCATTGCGGCCCTTGAAGGGAGGCGATGGAAATTCACCGCCGCCAAGTCCAACTACGCGTGGGGGGAACCAATCCAAGTGCTGGCCTCGGGTGCCTCTTCCGCGGCTGTGGCAAGCAACATGTATTCGGCATTTCTTTCACACTCGGCTCGGTGTACTTCAGTAGATGATGGTGTTGTCTCGCTGGAGCTTGAGACTTCAGCTCTACCTGCAGGAGGTTCCACCTCATCTTTGCCCCGGGAGCAGCAGCAAGAATTAACGCTTTACCTCAACACTGCTTCGGCCGGAAAAAAGACAGGATACTTGTGCGCTCAACATGCATCGACCGGAAGAAAAATTCCTATTGTGTCCTTGGCAGGGTCACGTGTGAGGGTTACAGGTGAGCTGCCTACGATGCTTCCCTCCGGTTGGGTAGCTTTTTTTAATGGCTCGACGGGATCGATGACGCTGAAGGACGTTGTTTTGCCTTCGCAGTCCGAGAGTGATGTGGAACACTTTAATTTCGTTTTGCGACTCATAACGCAAAACTCCCTGCGTGTTCGCTTTGTCCCTTTGCCTGTTGGTGCTGGCTGGGCAACAAGGCTACAGAGGTGCCGTGGAAACACTGCAGGGAATGAAATGCAATTTGCCGCGAATGGGGGTATTCTGCAGATGAATACTCCTTTTTTTCCCTCAGATTCCGTCGGAGTTCTTTGCGCAGGTGCCGAGTATCTTCGTGTGAACTACAGGGTTTATGAGCCCTTGCAGTGGCTGCAGCGATTCGGCGGGTCCGACGCCGCCGTGCTCTCCGCCGTGCTCCCGAGTTTGCCAACTTCCGCTGTAAGGCTGTCGGTCACAAATTGGGATGTGTCTGCCCACTTTGCTGTCCGTCTCGCCGTAGATGGAAGATGCCACGTTGGTTTCACGGCCAATGTTTGGCAGGCTTCAGACGCAGCACACGCTGTTAGCTTCCCAAATACCGTTAGCGGAACGTTCACGCTTTGCGTAGGTGTCTACACCGCTGCTGGGGGGACTTCAATGTTTGTGTCGACCGATCGTAAGGTTTTTGTGATTTCCTATGAGACAGGTCTAAAGGCCTGGAAAAAGGAACAGGAGGTGTTGTCTGGAACGTGGACGCCGTGTGGAGCTTCTTCCGTGTGCGGGTACGTGTCCCCGCAACCCTTCTTGGAGGTGTGTGGACGCCAGACCGTGACGCATGCGTGGCCCAGCATTGTCACAGAGATGTTTTATTCCCTCGGAAGCCTCAGTGTGAAGTTGCGCGGGGAGGCTCAGATTTATCCTGGGGCCCTAGTGGAGGACAGGGTGTTTGTCAAGCGCGAGAAGTTCAGCTGCCAAAATCTTAGCCGCGTAGAGGTGAGTGGAGACGGACACCTATACAGTACATCAGCTGTGATAAACCAGGCGCACTCCGTGGTGTCGCTGAAGCCAAGCACACCTCTTGCAGGCGTTGTCCTTGGCTTTGCCACGTGGGATGAAGGCTGCGACTCCACGTCGATTCGACACAAAGTTCTTGTTTCCACCGTGGCCCCTGCTGCAGGCCCCGTCTCGGCCTTGGATCTTGTTTCCTTGCTGGGGGGCCGCGAGGAGATGTACTTTGTTGTGTGTGTGCTGCAAGCAACTTCATGGAGGACTGTGTCCCAGACGCACATCCACGCAATCCCCAGCGGTGCGGAAGCTAAAAGTGTCGGTGCGGATGCCATTGCGACGTTGAGCCCAAACGAACACGAGCGACTTCTTTACCTCTGGCAAACAGGAACAGAGGAGTGGAACATCGTGGGCTCCTTTCTCCCCAACGTGGCGATGTCGCTTGCGCTTGTCTGGGATAACGCTTCTTGTCATGCTTCACCCGCGTACGCCGCGCTTATGCGGTACGTTTCTCCCACTACGGCTCTGGTTCGTGTTGAGGCCTCCTTTATTGCTGCGGCGCCCACACCGACCTCGTTACTGTACCCGTGCTACTCTATTGAGGGTGCACCTGCCTTGCCACTTCGCATCGAGCAGCGCCGCAAAAGGTGTGTTGTCATCTTGAACCTTTCGCTTTCCTCCCTTAACTATCTTCCGCACTTTGCGATTCGCTACAACACAACGGAATACACCACTATCATTTTTTCTGACCCTTTGAACGCCCCAATCACCCAATTGGAGCTTTTCCTTCTGCCTTCACCCGTGGAAGCGGGTGCCGCTACCAGCTGCTCGCCCACTGCCCAGCGACACGTCTTGTCCCTACTGGTGCAGGTAAATGAATTTGGGTTGCGATACGTAACTATCGCGCCGAGCGTTCCCGCGATGCTAGGCTCTGCAGGGCGCGAAGTCTACTTGCGTCTGTGTGCTACAGCCTCGAAGGGTGTCAGTCCAAGTTTTGTTCAAGTTAGTGCGTATCTTGTCGTTAACAGCATCGGCTCAGTGACGCAACCGGCTCCGTTTTCCTTGGAGCTTGTTTTTCTTTCTTTAAACAACACCGGCCACCTGCTGCCGCTGCCCAAATGTGCAGAGTCCGTAAAACGGTACGTTGTTGACGCGACGGGTTGGAGCCTCGATCAACGAGGGATTTTGATAACCTCCAAGGGTAACAATCGCTTTCTTCTCTTTATTGAGCCCACTTTGGAAGTGACAGGCGAGGACGCTACCAAACAGTTGCGGGCTGTGTACAGGGCGATGGCGTCGGGGAAGCACTTGCCCCTGCGTGTTAGTTATGCAGATGGACTGTGGTTTGTTCTTTGCTCCGTAGAGGGTGTGCATCTCTTTAACCAGACGCCCTACGACGAACTTCCGCGCGTTGTTGTGACGGGGTTGGATGCGGCCAATGGTGCATACGACGGGGACTTGACGAAGCAGACTATTACGATCTTTTGTATCGTCATTGTGCCTGTCGTTGTGGGCTTTGTTGTCTTCTCCCTGCAGCGCACTGTGCCGCGGCTGAGCCTGCCAAACTTGGGCAAAGGCTGGCTGAAGCAAAGGAACGGCAATGGGAGAGGCACGCGTGCCAAGGCGGCCCACAATGCAGTTTTCGCCGTGCTGGACTGCGAGGGACCCGACTCCCCGCCCCCGCGCATCCCGCATTCGATGGAGACTGACGTTCACCGCGCCGCCCTTGCGGCGGAGAACTCCGCCGCCGGCCCGTTGTACGACTCTGACGGCGACGAGGCGCCCACCTCGTTGGGCTGCACGCCGCCGCCGCCGCCGCCGCTGCCGGTGGGCAATGCCACCTTTTCCTTTCGTGAGCACGGAGCGGGCGAAACGAGCAGAGATAGAAATGACGAGGAAAACGCGTGAGAAAAGTGTGCCCGAGCCGAACGAAAACCAACAACAAGAGCAAAGACAATAGCTTAATGGAGGAGAAACAAAAAAAAAAGAAGAAAAACGGGGAGGGGGGGGGGGGAAACGAAGCGGCGACGAGAAGTTGTGTATATTTTTAGTTTTATGCATTTTGTTGCTGGTTTCCCTGCTTGTGGAGGTTGTTCCTCTTCCCTTTCCCCACTCACCTGTCTCGTCGTGTTGGCGAGTTTGCTTCCTGCGTGTTTTTATTTTCGCTTGTTTGCTGTTTCTTCCTCCTTCCTGTCGTGCAGTCTCTCTCACGGTGCACGCATGCATGCCGGAGTAAGAACAAAAAGGGGTTGCACATGTTACCGCCCCTTCCGTTTTGTACTACTTTTTCTTTCCTTATATTTACATATATATATATCTCTCTCTGTGTGTATGTGTGGATCTTAAAGGGGGGGACATACATGCACCTCTGTAATTCTGTCTGTAATCGCTCTCTCTCCCACGTTTCTTTCTTGGTGTGTTCTATTTTTTTTTGTCGTGCGTGGAATTATCTGCCGTATTCCTCGACTGCGTTGTTTTTTTTTTTTTTTGCATGGGGTGACCCATTTTTGCACGCCAGTCGGATACTTTGCTTCTCTTCCTCCGGGTGCGTGTTTTTTTTTCTTTTCTTTTTTGGTGTCTCGAGAAGAACGCAAGAGAAAGCCCGTAATTTGTACAAGCATGTCGCGGAACGTTGGTGCCGAGGAGGACTGGGAGGACGTGGGGGCCGTCGAGGAGGAGGAGGAGGAAGAAGAAGACACGACCATCAACAACTCTGATGTGGTGATGCGGTATAAAAAGGCGGCCTTGTGGTGCAATGAAACACTCCAGGTGCTGCTTGATGCGGCCAAGCCTGGCGCAAAGGTGTATGACCTCTGCAGGTTGGGCGATGAGACAATCGCGAAGAAGCTTAAGACGATGTTTAAAGGCACGGAGAAGGGTATAGCTTTCCCAACGTGCGTCTCCGTAAACAGTTGTGTGGCACACAACAGCCCGTCAGCTGACGATGAGGCGGCCTCCCAAGAGATTCAGCTTGGGGATGTGGTGCACTTTGATCTGGGCGTTCACGTGGACGGGTACTGTGCGCAGGTGGCCCACACCGTGCAGGTAACTGAGAATAATGAGCTTGCTGCCGATGCGAAGGCCACAAAGGTCATTTCCGCAGCTCACAGCATTCTTAACACGGCGATGCGCAAGCTGCGGCCCGGGACCAACGTTTATGATGTGACAGAAATCATTGAAAAGGCTGCCGCACACTACGGTGTTACCCCCGTCGATGGCGTCCTTTCACACATGCTGAAGCGTTACATTGTTGACAGCTTTCGGTGCATTCCACAACGGAAGGTAGCGGAACACCTTGTGCATGACTACACGCTGGAGGCAGGGCAGGTGTGGGCGCTCGACATCGTCGTGAGCTCTGGAAAGGGCAAACTAAAGGAGCGTGATGCACGGCCGACCATCCACAAGGTAGCGCTGGACTCCAAATACGCCATGAAGATGGAGTCGGCGCGTGAGCTTCAGCGTGAGATTGAGGCGAAGTACCAGACATTTCCTTTTGCGCTGCGGAACCTGGAGACAAAGAGGGCTCGCCTAGGTCTCACAGAGATGGTGAAGCACGACGCCGTGGTTCCGTACCCTGTTTTGTACGAGCGGGACGGCGAAGTGGTCGGTCACTTCAAGGCCACGGTGCTGATTACAGGCAAGAAGATCGAGCCAGTGACGGGGCTCAGGCCGCAGAAGGCGCCGGCGCTGCCCGCGTACACCGATGAGCTCTTGCTGACCACAAGCAAACTGCCGCTTTCCCTCGAGGAGAAGAAGCGGAAGAATTAAGCGGCGTCCTCGCCCAGGAGCGTGCGCGCAATCCCGCGTGTGTCACGAGCGACTAACCAAACAAGGAACGAGGGAGGGAGAGAGAAGGGGGTAATCAAGGCAAGGGAACGGGCGACAAGGAAAGGAGGAAAAAGGAGGTAGTTCTCTTCCCAAGGCGAGATACTGCGGGAGGAAACAGGCGAAGCAACAACGAGAAATAATCCAGGGTAGGCGGGAGTGAAGGGGGGGGGGAAAGGGGGGGATGAGAAGAACGTCTTTACAGGAGAAAAAAGAAGAGC